ATTCCCCAGGATGACCTTGTGCTCGCCAAGAGTGAAAATTATGATCTGCCAGAGGACCAAGATGAGGACACGAACGCCAAGGATCTCGACAAGAGGGACCTCGTCGCCATCATCTCCCCCATCACACCGCGAAAGGAAGGTGAGCGACGGGCGTCGGCCGACGAGGTTGAGATTGTGCTTGCCGATGGCTCCGTGTGGATGGGTAAGCCATGGGGCAATGGCTCTTACGAGTTTGTGCACATTGACGAGAGCGGCGTCTCCAAGACGGCGCGATGGGTGAAGAAGGGCGTCAAGGCCAAGCGGGACAGCTTTGGTGCGCCTTCGCCGCCACCAACGCCGGACTCGAAGTATATTTTCAGCCTTATCGACCCCACCACCAGACGACATCCCATCATGGCGACCCTGACATCTTCGAACCTCGAGGTTCTGGATCACTATGTTGCGCTTTCCAAGTCTCACGAGGAGGAAAATGAGGACGAGGATGAGCCGCCTCGGCAGAAGATGATGCGGGCCATGGATGATGTCGCTCGTACCCTGATCACCGTGACTGCTGTCTGGGTATCGCTGCGCAACAATCAGAACTGGCCCATGCGTGCACCTCGCCCGACGCTCCGGACAACCGGCAGCGCCCGCACTACGAGCATGGGTTCCGACCGTAGTCGCGCTTCGACGTTTCCCATGTCGGCCTCGGAGGTCAGCCGTCCTTCTTCGCCCGTATCAGTCGCGACGCCACAGACGAACTCGGCGCCTAAGCGGTCGTTGTCCATGGGTGCAGCGTACATGCAACGGCGGCTGGCGAGACAAGGCAACGAGTCGCCACCTCAGAACGAGACGCCCACCGAGGGCGATGATGTAGAGGACCCGAAGATCCTGGCTATCGGCGCATCGGCGAAGCTGCAGAAGAGAAAGTCCATTTGTCGCCGGGTCCGCGACTGGGGCCACCGCATCACGCACTCGAGCAAGGAGAAAGAGACGCAGAAAAGGAATTAGGCCGGGCTAGACCTGGGAGCCAGAACCACCAGCTGGCTGGGCTGGCTGGGGCATGGGAGCATTTGTTGGACATTACGGCGCACCGGATCATGGCGAAAAGAGATTATGCATACCCCCTTCCCTTCGCAGCCGCACCTCACTAGGTCTGCAGGCGCTTTGTTGGAACACGGCCTCTCTGGGTTTCATTTTTTTTGTCCTTTCTGAATTATGTATATCTACACACCTAGGTAGTGTGGGAGGCAGGCCCACGTGATGCGGGCCATCTGTACATACATTGACTTTTGAGTCTATTTCCTACTTGAATCCCGCCTCCCTGGCAGAGTGACTTTTGGGGTCGTTCAACGTGGGATGCATGTCGGTTCTCGCAGGCCTGGTAGCGAGCTGCGCTTTGCTGAGGCTCCCAATCGGAGAGAGACTGCTGCTCAGGTCATGCAGATATTCACATGGCAGATGCATCGCAGATCGGGGCCCACGACAGGAAAGGTGTGCCAATATGCTGGCGGTCAGCCATAAGATAACTCAGTCGTGAGTCTGACTATTGATTTGATGGCCACATTTCGTCTGTCGAAGCTATCTGTCAATCAGTCAGTGTCTCACATGTGGCCAAGAAGGTGGAAAGTTTCTGAAGTCAGACAGGCCGATCCGGTGTACCTCGCCAACGTCCGGGCACGAGCATCACGGATCGGCAAAGTCTAATCAGACGACTCGTCATCCAGAGCTCATATTCATATTCTCATGCCGAACACCTAAACCTAAGGACGGCTTTCTCGTAAACCCTTTGCTTTGTTCCCCAAGTTTCCCTTATTATCGCTCGCAAAACGCAGAGCAAATGGACCCCTAAAACTCCGCCCACCTTCAAACCCCCCCTTACGACCCTAGTAAACTAAACCCTGTTCGCACGCCGGCTTCTCACCGCAGGTCCACCCACAGTTTCATTAGATGTAGAGAGCCCCAACGTTCTTGGCGATGAAGTCGTAGCTGTCGCTCCTGAAGTTGTCATCCAGCAGGCCGCCGGCCCTGTTGGCCAGAAAGTTGATGAGCTTCTTGCCCTGGTCCCAGCGTGGCCAGTTCGGGTACTGCGCGGCGCTGCCGACGTTGGGGTCGAGATCGTGGACAAAGTTGGTGTAGTAGGTGCGGATCTGGCGCGACGCGTAGTTGGGCAGGATGCCGTAGAAGACCTGCAGCAGGTCGGAGCCGTGGAACGTGCCCAGGATCGGGGTGCCGTAGTTGTAGGAGGCGAGGTAGGACCACGCCGGCACGTTGGGGTGGGCGGCCTTGGTCAGGGAGAGGAAGGCGCGGCGCGTCAGGGTGAAGACGAGGTCGCCGAGGACGGCGGACCGGCGCTTGAAGCCCGGGAAGATCTCGTTGAGGAGGGCGGTGCGGTGCGGGCTGCCGGAGATGACGGCGGCGACGCCGTTGTCGTACGTGTTGACGAGCGTCGTCAGCTGCGCCTTTGTGGCGCCGTTGAAGAAGAGCTTCTGCAGGTAGTCGACGAAGCGGTCCGTCGTGGTCAGGTTCGGCTGGAAGAGCCCGAAGAGCGTGCCCTCGTCCTCCTGGTTGCCGATGATCATGGGCACGGCCGCGTACTTGCCCGTCGCCGCCAGGATGTCCGGGCTCTGCGTGAGCACCTTGCCGTCGGGCCGCGGGAGGTACGAGAGCGCCACCGAGTTGTAGGACAGGATGCCCGGCGTCGACGTGACGGCCTTGAGGAACGTCTGGTAGGGCACGTCGCGCAGGCAGTTGAGCGTGTCGGCCTTGCCGGCGCACCCGGCCTCCCTGACGACGAGATCGTACACGGCCTGGCCCTTGGGGCAGTCGACGGGGTCCGCCGGCACCATGCTTCCCGAGTTCATGATCGCCCCGCGGAAGAGGGGCTTGCCCTTGTACGTGTTGTCGCCGTCGTAGAGCGCCATCTGGTCAAACACGGAGATAGCACCCGCCGACTCGCCCCAGATGGTCACCTTGGAGGGATCGCCGCCGAACGAGGCAATATTGTCGGCCACCCACTCGAGACCCATGCGCTGATCGAGGAGACCTAGGTTCGAAGACCCGTCGGCGAGGATCTCCTTGCCGGGCATGAAACCGAAGCCCGCAACACGGTAGTTGACAGCGACGAAGATGAAGGGCTTCTTGAGGTCGACGCCGTGGTTGATGAGCCCTGTGCCGTCATACATCGAAGACCAGCCGAGCTGCGAACTGTGTGAGTAATTTTATATCGACAAGTGATGAGCCACCTCAAGAGCTCTTACCTGGAACCCGCCGCCAAAAATCCAGTACAGCACAGGAAGCTTTGCATCTGCTTTGGTGCCCTCAGGTCTGGCCACAGTAAATAGACAGACAGTCTTCTGTCTGGCCCGTGACCTTTTGCACAAATGGCAAGTTGGCGATCTCGCCCAGAAGGTCGAAGAGAAAGTTGTCACTCTCACTCGACGACACCATCTGGGGGCACGCCGCCGCCGGTCCGGTGGCGTCAAAGGTACCAAGGTTCCTCGTGATGCGTTGGGGAGGCTTCAGCCTGAGCCTGCCCACTGGCGGCTCGGCAAAGGGGATCCCGCCGAACGACTCGACCTTGTTCATGACGTTGCCGAGAACAGTGGCCAGCGGAAGTACGACAGTCGCGGTGCCAGCGGCTCGCTCGTCGAGGGCGGGAGTCGCATCGGACTGCGCGGCGACTGTGCCCAGGAGGCCGAGGAGGATGGGGAGCTTGAACAACATCGTGAAAACCTCCGTGTACTGGCAGGCTGGAGGCAAGAAGAGCTCAGAAAAACCCAACAAAGGGGGGAAGTGCAAAAGTGAGCTGGCAAGTCTGACTTGAGCTACCGCTGAGGCAGATGGGGGCTGAGTCGAGCAAAAATCTTTTCCTGTGAGCGGGACCCTGCTTTATTTATCATATTGGGATCATCGCGAGAATCCTAGGTTGTGGATGTCCGGTGCCTGGGGCCCCAGGCCAGACCAACTTTTTTTTTCTTTGGCCCCGACCCATCCCCCCGTCGTATCCGCTTTCGACATCGCGGAGTGCATGTGCGCCGTGTCATGGCCATCCATCCGTCAGATTCCCCATGGGGATTCCCCAGAGTGCGAGCTCAGGTTGCACGGCATGATCCCTGTGGTGCAGTGCTCGGATCGAGGGGAGACCACGCGCTTGGGGTTGGTAAGTGCCGCCTGATTCGCCAATGCATGGCACCGTTGCCATCGAACTGCGGGATTCAGAGTAGACGAAGATCAGCGAAAATCAAAAAGCCGAGGAACCTGACGGAGTCGTTCAACAGACATGTGAATGTGAAAACAACCACAAGGCTGAACAAAAGGAGGGGCTGGCTAGAAGAAAAAAGGAACAGCAGCTGTGAAATCGAGTCAACACAAAGCGCAACGACTCAGGCGCCCCTCGGAACCTTGACTCTGTCCGAGTCTGCCCCCCCACGTCGTCATGTGGTGCATCTTGGCCAAGCTCAAGCTAAAAAGTGGGAAGCCGTTTTGCGGGGGAGCAGCTCGGTAGGTCACCAAGTGCGGGGAGCAGATATGCGATGGCAGCAATGGCACCGGCTTTGACTCCTAGAACAGCCTAGTCTGTTTCCCTGCAGGGGTGACAATGTAGCTCTACAGCGTCTCTGCCGCCCAAGATCGAAGCTGTAGTCCGTCATCTTGCGTTGTCCTCGTGTGCAAAGCCTTGGACGAAGCAGGGAATGCCGGCGTAAGGTCCGAAATGTGACAATTGTGTAGCGCCATGTCGAGTGTTGGCGGTGAAGCGCACGAGCACTCCATTGCTGTTCACGATGGCTGGCAAATTCGAACCTCGCGAAATGAGTTCGCATACTATCCGAGCCTTTTAGGTACCAAGCGATCAGACCCTAAGAACACTGCGATTGTGTGCTTTGCTCAAAAGCATGCGAGTCGTGTAAGACGGCAAGTTCAGCCTTGGCTCAGCTCCAGTAAGTGGTGCCAGCCAACTTGAGATGGGTTGCTAGCCTCCTAAGGGGTTATATCCTCATTTGGATTGGAAGTGAGGGGGGGGATGTGCGTCCTTGACCACACCGGGAATAGATCGTCATCAATAAACCCACCGCGATCCGCAACGCCATCGCCCAAGGCGGCGAGCGTTGAGAATCTTTACGGAAAATCCCCCAGATGTTGCCCTCAGGTCAGGAACGGGCACCCGGATGCTGCCGGCTCCAGCTCGCACAGCATGCCTGTAACGGACGAGCTTTCTTTTAGCTCAACTGAGACACGGTAGATCATCAAACAATTGTCGGGCAGAAGGATGAGAACTGACACAATCTCTTATGAGTTACGCCTCACACCATCTTGAGTTTTCCCGTCGCCTCTTGGCTGCCCGTCCTGCATACTGGCGGCTTTGATGGCGCCTTTCGGGAGCCTGAGGGTGTGCTCATTGTCCGCATTCTTCGATATCACATGGTAATTCCTGCTTTCACGTGGAAAGAAAGTAGAGTTGTAGTATGAGACGCGTAAATATCTTTGGTCATCGGCCTCGGTGTGGCTGTTCTTGAATCCCATCCCGTTGGGCTAGATCACCTTGTAAGCTGCCTTGTCGCAACACCACGCCCACTTTACCGGAGGCTTTTAGAGGACTCACGGCGGGCAGCATAGACTTACGGAGTTGGAGGAAATGCGGGGAAGTGCTGGAAGACACATCATTAGTTGATCAACAAGATATCATATTTCAACAAACAGCATGTGAAGGGAAAACATGCAAAAACAGCAAGTTGGAGGAGTTAGGCTCGCTCAACACACTCTGGAATTACTGCCTAGAAGTAGACGCCACAATTTTCCGAGAAAGCTTTTGAGTCAGGAACGGGGGTCTAACAGGTTACTTTCTTTTCACCGGGCCGTGATCGTGGCCTTCGTGGTCCTCATCGTCGTTCTCATCAGGCCAGTCGGGGAAGCCATCCTCGAAGAGATCCTCTAGCGCCTCTGCCCTTTTCTCCTCACTGAGCACTCCGTTCCTCATCACCCGAGACCAGTCTTCCATCTCGTCGCCAGTCAGCGTGCACTGGTCGAGGACGTCTCGGAGAGCCTCAACGTCCAGGTTCTCTCCAATGAAAACCAGCTCCTGGCGCCTGTCCCCCCATTCACCGCCCTTCGCAATGTCGTGCTTCACGAGAGAATCAATTTGCTTGTCCCCAGTCAGGTATTCCTCCTCGGGAAGAGTGCAGAACCACGGCCTGCCACCGATGAGAGTCAGCATAGCGCCGGCTTGTGACCACTCGCCAGCCCTGCCTGGACGAGTCGCTAGGAAGAATTCGCCCTTGGAGCGGAACAGGCGGCTGAACAAGGGGTGCGCTCGTTTATTGGCGAGAATGATATCGTTAGGGGGCATGTCGAGCCCGTCCTCCTCTTCTCCTTCTTCTTCGTTGCTCATGATTTCGTCTTCCTCTTCGCTGACGACGTCTTCAGAATCGACTTCCATCTTTTCCGGTTCCTCCTCCTCTTCATCATGCTGCATCTGCAGGATGAACTTGTCATACAAAAGTTGCCACAACCGCCGTGGGTGGAACGGGCGCGGGGATGAGTAGACAAAATTCCGAACGTTATACTCCTCAGTCTCAGGCTTGGGCGTGATAGTCTTCTTTCCGTTGACCTATAATCGTGAATTAGTGATGCTCAAGACGGTCCCGCGCGGAATCGACTCACCTCTCGGACGGTCATATCGTGGAGGTCCTGCAGCCATCCGTATCCGGTCTGCGCTTGCTCCAGGCTGAACAGCCCAGTGTTGACAATCTCCTTGACATCAATCCTGCCGTAGCTCGTCTCCAGGATCTTTGCCCTGTGGTTCAGCTTTTTGATGAGCTCAATCAAATTGGCCCGTGTTTGGGCATCAACCTGGAGAATTGCATTTTTAGCAACAGTTCAAAGACTGCGTTCGGCTTGTCAGAGGGCTTACCATGTCGGTCTTGTTCAACAAAATCACATCGGCAAACTCGATCTGGTCAACCATCAAGTCGGAGACAGTGCGCTCATCCTCAGGTACCACATCGTCTCGTCTCGATGACAGAAGCTGGTCGGTGTGGAAGTCGTTGTACACGGTGAACGCATCGATGACGGTGACGGCAGTATCAAGACGGGCAAACTTCTCCAATCCGCCGACTTTTGCCCTAGATGACTTGTCAGCCAGAGTTCAATGAGACGAATTTGCTTTCATGAGCTCACAGCTTCTTCAGCACCTTGAGAGTGCTTTCATCGAGTCCATCGGCCTGTTCGACCATACTCCTCATTTGGTCTGCCAGCTTGTTGTCAAATGTCTCAGCGACCTGTTCAGGCTCGCTGATACCGCTGCTTTCGATGATGACGTAGTCAAAGGCGTGCTGTTCAGCGAGGTTGACTAGCTCCTCAAGGAGGTCGCCTCGGAGGGTGCAACAGATGCAGCCATTCTGTAGTGCGACAACCTTCTCTTCTGTTCTTGTGACTTTGTGAGTCTGCTTTATCAGGGACGCGTCGACGTTGATGCTGTATGTCAACTATGTTAGACTTGGTCATATGAAGGAAGCTCACGGGCTCTTGGTGACTTACGCTCCAATATCGTTGACGATGACGGCGATTTTCAGGCCGTGGTCGCTTTTCAGAATATGTTGGAGAAGTGTAGTTTTTCCACTGCCCTATCCGATGTTAGGGGGGGTGTCTGACATGCAAATGTAGCCGCGTGATTTCGAAGTTGCCATACCAGGAAGCCCGAGAGCAGGGTTACAGGCAATGCCTTTTCTGGGACCTTGCTATTCTTCTTGGACTTGGAGAAGGAGGATATGTTTCTCTTCGTCTTTGTGATGGCCATTTTGAATTTTTGAATCGCTTGATTCGAATCCGATCCTAAAGATGTGCGCTGTGGAAGATGGATGTAAGATGAGCAGGGCTCGTTCGCGGCGCCCACGACTCACACCCTTCTCGCCCATCATTTTATACATGCTGAAACAGGCGCTTTCACACCAGCGAGCCTCTATCATATCTTGATCGGTGCTACACAATGCAATCATGCCATCAGGGTGTTCGCGATGCGGGAGAATGTGTCCATCAAGGTGTCGCTAGGTCGTCATCCCATTTTGCGGCGCTATGATTGGTCAATTCTGACTTATACCGGGGAACTTATCAACCACACCTCGTCCCTGAGCAGTATTAGCCGTGTTCTTTTGGCTTGTTCGACGCACGCAGGACCACACAAGAGGGTTCATTTCGTTGGTAGATCCCCCAGGGGATGAGCAGGGTAACTCAAGGGCGATGTTCCGGGTACTTTCATCTTGTTGTACACATCGAGTCGCAAGAGCGTAGGCACAGGTAAGCCTGCGCCTCCAAAGTACTATGAGCATGTATTTCAGATATGAGGTATGTACGAAGACCAATTGACACTGACAAAGGCGTGACCTCGCGTGTC